CATTGCTTTCAGCGCCAAATGAAATTATTTCTCAAGGGGATGTTGAGAAACCACATGAAATAAAAACAGAAGAAAAAGATGAAGTTGCTGCTAAGTTAAGAAAGAAGGAAGATAAAGTTGATGAAGAGACAGGATTAAGTAAGGATCACTTATGTTAAAAAGATAAAATTATGGTTGAAGAAAAGGAGAGTGAAAAACTGGCTTAGGATATGCTGAGAACTGACAAAAGCAATGTAGGCAGGACATTAAAGAAGTTCAACTTTATCTTGCTTAGGCTTATAGGAGAAGTTGGTGTCAAATCTGAGAACTACATCCAAGTTGTTAAGTCTGTACTTTGGATTTGATAATAAAAAGGTATCCGTATCAGAAGGGATTGAAGAAAGTAAAACTATAGCAATCCCACATCTCTTGTCAAATTGGAAGAAAGTGAAATCTAGAGGAAGAAGATGAAGCTCAGAAATCTAAAACAGAACAGGATGTCAGTGGTGGGAAACAACACTACAGAAAAATGTAAGAAGATAAAAAAACAGAAGAACCAGATATGTAGGAAAATGTTATTTATACTTTATCTGCATATAACATTATTTTGTTTATATCTCATATCCTGGAAGGATAGCAGTGTTAAAGTAGGGGGGGGGGGGAGAAGATGAAAGCATATTTTGTTAGAAGCAAGTAAAGTTAACTAGCCACCTTCTTATAAGGATGGGCACCCTGAGCTAGGTTTAGAGGAGATAAGTGAAGAGAAGACATGAATGAAGAGTGAAGAGAAAAAGAAGTATTTCCAAAACAAACGTTAGTAGCCTTTTACAAGACAAACTTTAATTCTGTAAATAAGCACAAAGTCTTGCTAGTCATCTCTTCAAAGTGAAACAATTTATAATATTCTACACTATCAGTACATACACTTTTATTATTAAATAATGTTTTAATTGATCAACTTTGGAAAACAGAATATAATATCATCCCCTCACATCTAAGATGCTATGGAAAAGAAAATAATGTTCTAGAAAAGAGAGCTGACCATTTCAATATAGGATCAATTTCAATATATGAAGAATAAGCATATTAAGTTTTGGGTAGGATGGAAAAGATGATACTTCTGATCAATTCTTTTTTTTTTTTTGAACCATGGACATATTGTTCATTTTTCCAAATAGCATACTGTATTAGTCTAGGTATTTCTGGTTTCAAGTACTTCAAAATAAGGTTGCTTGAATAAAAAATGTAATAATAAAGATTTTATTTATTATGTCACAATATGATGAACAAACAAGCAACACCTCCCTCCACCTCCCATATCTAATGAAACACCTTGTCTCCTACTCTGCATAATTCTCTACAGGGAACCCCATCTTTCACTGCATCTGATCTATGTTTCAAAAATCTTTGCCAAAATCATATGTTCTCTGTCCAGTATTATTTTGGTCCAGAATTCCACATAAAATAAAATGTAATCCAGACATGCTGGCTTCTTCCCAATTCATATTCTGTGAAAATTTATATACTGTATGACAGATGGAAAACAAATATATGTGGTCCAATTTAGGTTATATGTTACTCATTATTTAACTGTATTTCAGGTAGCAGTGACATTCTGCTGAAATTAATGCTTTTAATATGCATCTAGGAACTGAGCCTTTGTTTAATTAAATGAAATTATCAAGATTCTA